TCTTACAATTATGGCCAAATCCTAAACTGTAAGTGTGTATATATATATACACACACTCATATACACGAGTATATTATTATACAAACAAACAATTATAATGATGCTTAATGAAATATTTATTTGTTTAATAATAAAATTAAAGGGCAAACTCAGTGCACCAGACTTGCATCATTGCGAGGTTGGGAAGGATTAAATGTATGCACTGTTATCTGTGCACGCAGAGTTTTGTTTTTTGTTTTTTGTTTTTTTTTTTCAATTCGTGATCAGTAACCTTACCATTGCACACACATCTTAAAAAAAAATAGATACACGAGAATTCTGCTATTGCCATATTTGAAAATGATCAAATGTATGTGACCTTACTTTCTCATACAAAAACTGTTTTAGTTAGAAAATTATTACTTTTTTAAAACATTTGACGTATTCAAGAGCTTTGTAGCTCATCCAAGAGATAAATGTTTTAATAGTGTTCAAGAGCTTTGTAGCTTGTCTAAGAGATTGAACACAAATAAGAGATAATTAGATCAAAGTTAAACTAAATTCTTTTAATTTTAATTTCAATTTTATGCTTCCAAAGCAAGGTTAGTGTTGTTATTTTTATTTATTTTTTTTATTTTTATTTTTTTGAATCCTGATCCATTCCACCACATGGTATAATATTGTCTATTTTAGATTTGAGCCTACGCGGTTTTGCTCTTAAGCTTTACACTAAAAGACTTCATACCAATTAGAATGACATACCTACATATATAACACTTTCCCTTTCCACATCCAAGCGATATAGGATTGTACATCTGTAACTCGTCCAATGTTATAACCTGTCTCTTGCACCCGCCCACAAGGTCGCCACAATCACCCGCCTTAGGACCCAACATCTTCGTTGGCCACAATTCCAACTGTGTCAGACTTTGATATCATTTATAACGATCCACTCTACCAAATAATATGATATTGTCGTCATGATTCTTTTAATTTCAATTTTATGCTTCCAAATGTTAGTGTTATTTTGTTTTTGGTAATGGATTAATGTTATAATTAATAAGAAAATAATTTTATTTTTCATTGACAAGGAACAAACACTACTCACACATCCACCCTTTATGAACTCCGACCTTCACCGTTCACTAGGCTAGGAGGATTCGTAATGAGAAAATAGTTTCCATGTCAAAAAGTTCAAACTTCCACACCCACAGTCAAATTTTTTTCTTTTTTCCCCAAAAGTACATACAATAGTTTACTAGTATTTAATACAAGTGAGGCTCAAGTTGGCTAAATAGGCATCACAGAAACGTGTGCGGGGGGTGGGGGGCAAATGAATTAGGAAGTTATGTTTGTACCTTCCATCCTGGTTTACATATTTAAATTGTAGGGCCACTAGTACAACTCAAGTAATATGTAACCAAATTGACAACTTGAGGAATTTAAAGTGTTTTAAAATCTATACAAATATATAGGTGTGTGTTTTTTTGATATATTTTCATTTTTAACACCCCCCTTCCAAAATAAATACATAAATAAATAAATTATGTTCATATATTTTCATCCCCCCACCACAGAATCATCCTCATTTAGTGTAACGGCTTACCAATTATCGTTTTAATTTTTACCCTTATAATTACACATGGGCCTAACATGTTATAATAGTTCTCCCCATTTTGTAAACACGTTCTTTTCTAGAGTAATGCTATACAAATATATTATAATCCACAATATTTTTCTTATACGTAGAATAAAGTAGTGACTAGTGAGTTTCACATGTGCCTGTCCGCCTATTGTTTTGGACGTACTATATTTATAAGTAAAATTTATGACTGTTCTTGTTTTTATCCATTTTCGTATCTAAAACTTTTGCAGAAAGTGATTGAATAAAAACTGAAAATAAATCAATTTATGTGAAAAGATTATTGTTCGGTGGTAAATTATAAAGTCCTTTAAAAAATCCAAGACCACCATCAATAAGAAAATAAATTAAACAAATTTAGATATATATTGGGAATATTAACAATAGAGCATGCTAAATTATATTATGTATTGTATTTTAGGGTTAGAGTTAGCCGTCTTCACCTACCCTCATTACTATATATATCATTACCTTATATGGAGTTTATTTGCTCTCCACACAGACCTCTCCTATATATGCCCCCAAATACTATTGTATTATGCACATTTCATATCAATACAATACATTGTATTTCTCTCTCTATATATATTTCTAACATGGTATCAGAGTAAAGTTAAACCTCTTCCTCTTAATTTTTTTTTTCTTTTTTCGATCACTATTCACCACAATTATGGATCTTCCGCTCATTCTTTTGCCATTCTGATCATATCAAACAAAAGGGGCGAAGATTCCCTCCTCGTCGCTGAAAAATTCATCCCAAAAGGAATTGGCACGCCCCCACACGCGCAGCCCAAAGTTTCTGAGGTTCTGCTAACCGTTGCCACGCGCCACCAGCCTCACACATACCCCCACGTGCCCCCACACGCCATCCACGCGCAGCCACTTGCTCCTATGCACCAAACTCCTTTGTGCTTTTGCCATGTCGCCTTACGCGCTAGACTCTTTTGTGCTTTTGCCACATCAGCCGCACACGCCAGCATTGCCACATCAGCGCCATCACGTCAGATTCGGGACCATTCTGCCACGTCAAATTTGGGACCATTATTTTTTACTTTATGTTGATGATAAGTGGAGATGATTTGACGGGAATTCAAGAGCTCAAATAGTTTCTGAGTCGTTAATTCGAGATAAAGGATCTTGGACCTCTCAGTTATTTTCTTAGTCTTGAGATCACTACAGTTACAGATAGTCACTACCTCACTCAAGCAAAATACATATTAGATCTTCTTTCGAAATCAAGCATAACTGGCAACAAGATTGTTAGTACAACACAAGATTTAACTTACATGATGGCAAATCTTTTCGAGATGGTACATTGTATCGACAATTGGTTGGTAGTCTGATTTATCTTACTGTCACCTATCCAGACATCTCTCATGTCGTCTATATAGTTAGTCAGTTCATGGCTGCTCCTAGATCTACTCATTTTGTTGTTGTTCTTCGCATCTTTCGCAATCTCAAATGTATTATGTTTTACTTTTCTTCTCAGTCATCACTTGTTCTTCGTGCCCATTCAGATGTCGACTGGGCAGGAGATCCTACAGATCGTCGTTCCACCACAGGCTATTGTTTCTTTCTTGGTGATTCACTTATCTCTTGGCACAACAAGAAACAAATTATAGTTGCTCGATCTAGCACGGAAGTTGAATATAGGGCACTTACTGATACTACGTCTGAGCTTCTGTGGTTACGTTGACTCCTTCAGGATGTGAGAGTTTCTTCATCCATTGCCACTCCTATCTATTGTGATAATAGGATTGCAATTCAAAATGCTGCTTTTCATTAGCATACCAAATACATTGAGATCGATTGCCATTTTGTTTGTCATCATCTTCTTCAGAAGACTTTATAGTTGTAGTCCATCACTTCTCATAATTAGATAGAAGATGTCTTCACCAAATCACTTCCGCCAGGCTGCTTTAAGAATCTTGTTTCCAAACTCAAGATGACTTTATATAACCCACCTTGAGTTTGAAGGGTGGTGTTAGACTATATTATGTATTATATGAAATTTACCTACTCTCCACACAGACCTCTCATATATATACCCCCAATACTTTTGTATTATGCACATCTCATATCAATACAATACATTGTATGTCTCCCTCTCTCTCTCTCTCTCTATATATATATATATATATATATATATATATATTTCTAAGAGTATATTTACTATTGAGTAGTCTAATGAAAAAAAATCTAGGGAAGAAAAAAATCACAGGATTTTTATTTATTAAGAGAATTCTTCTAATATAATAATCAGAGATAAAATATGGAGTTTTAGGGAGATAAAAAGTAGAAGTCGTAAAACCATATATGTTACATGACAAAGTGATATGATGGAATGTTACTTTAGTTAGACACAAGTGGAATTTCAGTTTTTGCAGGCTTACATCAAGAGCCTATGTCTTTTTGCTTTATCTATATATGAATGAACAGACAAAACCACATTTAGGATTATATTTCAAGGTGCATGTTATTTATTGATGCTGAAAATAAACACCTTTGGGGAAATGATTGAAGTAACAGCATTAGATATAATTAGAAAGAAAAAAAATTCATTAAATAAAAATTAGAAAGTTAATTAAGATATTTTGATCATGTGCAAGAAAGACTACAAGTACACTAATTTTAAAAAGTGACATGGTGGATATTGAAGGTAATTGTAGTAAAAGGAAGACAAAAATTAAGATGATAGTGGATAGAACAAAAAAGATACAGTAATAACATATAATTTGACTAAAACTGTGATTTTACTTGCATAAAGTCGAATGAAAAAAAATATAATTGATGTAGTTAATTTTGGAAAAAGTTTTTGTGAGTTGAGATTTTATTCTCGGTCCACTACCTTTGAACTTTCAAATGACACTTGCCTATGAGACTAAGAAATATAAATTCTCACCTCAAGTATATATATATATATATATATATATATATATATATATATATATATATTTTGTAATCATCACTTAAAAATAAAATAAAATTTTAAGAGACATGGCATCACTTATCACTAAATATTGTACAAATTAAAAATTCAAAAAAAAAATTATTTTGTAATGACTATTAAAACAAACTTCAAAAAAAATATTTATTTTGTAATGACTATTAAAACAAACTTCAATACTTAACATATATATTTGTCTGTTCTTATTTAAAAGTAATTTACCGAAGGTAAGATTCTTTTTGGCTTCGAATCGGTAACTTTCAAACAGTAGTAACCTCACGCTTACGGCAAACCCCGCTCTCTCATTAATTCTTATTTTCCTATAAAATAAGTATTAAAATTTGAAACTCCGCACTCCCGGACCGCCCGACCCACATACCGTGGATAGTACACCCATAGTTGCTTCTACTGAATGAACCCGTCTATCTCTCTCTCTCTCTCTCTCTATTAAATGGCCCAAACCTCATGTTCTCTCACTCTACAATCTCTCTCTCTCTCTCTATGATCGCTGCTTCAAAATTAATTTGAATTTAAGAGCGTGCAGTGCCGTCGATCTTGACCTTCAATGCTCCCCCATTTTCATTTTCTTCTTTCTCTCTCTATATCTATAACCAGTAGCGAGTGATTGTGTAAGAGGCTGGACTTTGATTGTCTCTCAAATGCAGCTCTGAACAAGTCTACTTCAGTGAATTGATTGGTGCTTCGTTCAGGTTTGATCTCATTTCTCATTCTTCTCTTCACTTTCCTCTTCTTCTCTATCAAAATCTAATCTAATCGATTTTGATCCAAAGTATTCCAAAAATCCAAATACATACATATGTATGTATTATAACATTTGTATGTATAAGAGGCTCATTTTGTTCCATTAATTTGTCTGTCTTGTGCTAAAAAAAATTGTCTTTGTCTTTAATAACATACATATGTATGTATATTTACATACATACATGCATACATACATACATACATACATACATATATATATATGAAATTATCAAGGACACACTATTTTTCCTTCTTTTTCTTTTGATTAAATGTTAGTGAAAAGAGAAAAGTGGTAATCTCAATGACACAAGGAAAAGCAACTTTTATTTAGTGTTTATTTATTTTTGTTTTGGTTTTGGTTTTGGTTTTGATTGTGAGGCTCAAAAAGCTTACACAATGGGACTCTTTTGCTCAAAAGTTGTTTGGTTAGGTCAAACAAAATATTGATTTCGCGGGATTGCAATGGCGTTTTGGGAGTTTGCTTTTTCAGGTCAGGACTCGGTGTTCTGACTCGGAGTTCCAATGACTACTAATTCCTTGTCAACTCGGCACTGAAATCGGACCCACATCTTGTTCTTAGACAATGTCATTTTTCAAAATTTCAGTCATGTACAATTTTTTCTAATTTTTCAGGAAGTTGTCTCTTTAAAATATATTGTATTTATTTACCAAATTTATTTGTGATAACCTTTCAATTTAAAAAATGAATTGAGACAAAAAGAGGATTATATCAACCTTGAAAAGGAATATCAAATTTTCGGACATAGTTTATTAAAACAATGTTAACCCAAACCCTTAGGGTGTTTGGCTCTAAGCAATCTTTTAATGTAAAACTGAATCCATTATTATGTATTTCAAAGATATGATGAATTGGGTGTTATTGTTTGGTCACAGCTTTTGGATTACCTGCCCAATCAACTGGTGGTTCTGTGAAAATCAGACAAATTAAGATGATGATGAGGAGGAGACTCGCTTGCTGTACACGGGACAGAGAGATAAGCTTGGACTTTGATGAACAAGAGAGTAAGCTCTCCCTTTCTCAAAATTTAAACATGTATAGGAAAATACTTTTCATCTCGCTGTCAAAATTTCAATTGAAAAATACTTTTCAAAGTTAACCTGATCAACTAACCAACACGAAAGAAAGCGACTAAATGTTATTGATGAGATTGCACTATATATAGTTTTGTTGGTTATTTTTGTTCCACGCCTATTTACTTTATCATTTCAATTTTGTTAATAATTGTGACTATTCAAATCTTTATGTTTGTTTATTTTTTTTTTTACAAAATGATATTTTGTGCACCTAAATTGTGGAAGCTGGTGGGCGAGAAAGAAATAAATGATATCATGTAAACCTTACATGAATAGTACGACATGTCTCAATGCCGAAGTCAAGCTTTAAGTTTCTTTTTGTTAACTAAGCGAGAGACAAACCCAGTGTCCAACGGTAGGGTAAAACCTCCATCCCAATCTGCAAGGTGGAGCCAGTGTCAGTGGTTATTTTTTATCGAAACAAAATGGTTATTCAAATATCATGTCATTTATGTTCATTACACTAAGTCCTTTTCCTTGCATTGGGCCATAATTATGTACCAATTTTGTAATACTAGACAATATTGTATGGCCAGTAGTGTACCTAACACACCAGTTTTAGCTGTATAGTTTTTGTACTGCAAAGAAAAATAGAACTGAAATGATTCAAGTGTGACAAGTCTTTTGATGAAAATTTCAGCTACAGCCCGGACCCTGCCTTATTTGAAAATGGGTAATGTATCCGGTGACCCCACCAACTCTCTCTGACCACCATTAAGTATGCATGCAGGTTACCTGTTCTAATTGTTTTGAGCATTTATTGTGCCCTAAGACCTGTAATATCCATATCCTTGCGTCACCACAACATGATGGAAAAAAATTCGCATTTTCAAATTTTCTTTTTGACTTTTTTTAACCAAATGCCCTTATTTGTGGATTAATTTTGAGATATTTCTAGTTTTTGCTGCATAATAAATTTTTACTATATAGGCTGTTGTAGATTAGAGTCATCTCAATTTTTAGGTCTTATAGATGGGACCCATAAATTGTTTGGAGTATATAGGCTTGCGGCCACCACATGCGAGGACCCCAAAATTCAAACCTTTTGGTTTTATTTTGAATTTTTAAATTACGGTCTGAAGTGGAAGAATCTTGTAATTGTCTGCCAAGGCATAGATATCATAAATAAAGTGATTGTGATTTATCAATAAGCCCACAGACTGAACTCACGGAAATTACATGTTCTTTTATTTATTGTTATATATAGTAATTGAAGTGATGGGCCTCATTGTAGTGCTACTGTAGATGAGACTTCCACTTCACTAGACAATGAAACTAAGGGTTTTGTTATTTTCTACGAAATTTCGTAAGTTTGCAATTATTCTAAAATTCTTATGTCATAACCCATAAAAAAGATCGTGATATGCTACCTGAAGGACGTGCTTAACTGCTTATTTGGTTAATGATGCCAAAGATTAGACAAATCAGATAATTTTTAACTGTTAATTTTTTATAAGAATATTTTGAGATGCTCAATTTGGTTACAATAATCAGATGGTCAAAAACTGTTTGATCATTTTTCTTTTCAATATAATTGTTCGGTTCAATAGTCATCATCATGTGTTAGGTACTGATATTAATTTTGATAGTTGAGATGACAAAGTATGAAGAATTTAAGAATTCATGGAACAAGAATTCATGGTGGATATAAAAAAATTAACCAGATGGGGACACACATATCACTGTCTGGATGACTTTTATTTTGAAAATTTATTTGCGCTTTTGTTTGGAACAGCTTTTACTAAGGGGATTCGCTCTCTGCTCCTTTCATTTCATTTCCTTTTTCTACTATGGTTTGAATTTTGAGTGAAGCACATCTTACCAACCAAATCTTAAGGAAAAATCTAGACAAATTAATCAGGCCTCTCGAGCATGTCATGTTATATATATGTTTATACACATAGGGCCATGTTTCTATAAATTTGATCTAGATCTAGTGTTTGTGGTCCATCTTCTAGACTACACTAGTTCAAATTTTAGGATATTTGTTGACATTTAAAATCTATCCTTGGATGGTGAAAATTGTTTACGATAAGTGCTTGAACAAGGTTGATAGCTTTTGTGATTTAAACTTATAATTACAGTATCTATAGTGAACCCGCTTGGAGGAGCCCAGTCAGCAGTGGATCTACGAACATTGCATGCTATGAGCCTTTGAGTTTATATTATGTTTACAAGGGCTCTTGTTTGGATCTATAATCAAATTGTTAGGTGCTGCTAATCTTATATATTTCTTGGGTTCTTGAGTTGGCGTTAAATAATAACACTTGCATTTGCACGTGCTTACACCTAACTCTGAAGTTTGACAAATTATCTATTACGCTGGCATGGGCATCTTTCATTGGTTATTGCTCAAGATCTGCAGTGGTTAACTGGATTGTCAAAATTCATGCATGTGTCATATCTACTTGACTCTGAATATGAATAGGTTACTCCTTATTTATGTCCCTGTTTTAGTATTATTTAATATAATTTGGGTGCTGCGAACTATTCTACTTAGTACTCAAATATAAGGGGTGTTTTTTGATCACCTTGGAAATGAAATAATAACATTGTTTACTGCTCAAGATATCTTTCGAAACAAATCAGTTGTGTTCTTCAAAGCATTTGAAACAACATTACTCTTGCTGCAAATAGAATCTCGAACAGAAGAGTAGTTGCCTCCACTTTCTGTAATGACTTGATTACATGGGATGGATTTGTCTTTGGTGTTTAATCTTCAAAGGGAATAATTTGGCATCCATGCGATATTTATGGGACATTGGATGCGCCTTTACAAAAATTAAAGAAGAATGTACCATTATTAGAATCTTCGGTGCAAGTTACTTTGTCCTTTGTAATCTTTTTGTTCTTTATAACCTTATGTGCTATTAGAAAATTTGCAGTGATGACTTATATATACGGATTGGATTGAATAAGCAAATGTTTCCTCATCATGACACTATATCCACTTCCCAGAATCCACCCACAACTGCCAAATACCAGTACATAAGTTTAAATTATTGGATGTTCTAATGAACATAATCATACGTACCTTTTGGCATTGGAAAACATAAAGTGTTATAGAGTTATAGTGCCCTAGTTCCTGTACCCTGATTAATGTGCATGCCCACCGCACACAAAGAAGGGTAGTTTTCATTTTTTTTCTGAATGATGATTTTTGTTGTTCTTTAGACTTATATGCTTACACATTTTTTTCAGTTTTAGACTTTTATGCTTATCCTTGCTAAACATAATAAGCCTATAATATATCATAATCAATCTTTGAATTCCTGACTGCAAGGCACTCGGGCTTTGTGTTGACTGTACCCCTATTAGTGCCAATGCACTCGGGCTTTGGTTTCTCTAGGTTTTTATTTTTTTATGTTAACACAGATACTACTTTGCCTTTCCTATGTTTCCTTTGAGCTGTGACAAATATATACGATGGAAAATTTCAGGAATAATGACGTATAATGGCCTTGAGAGTTGCATTCTGAACAGTCACTCTTATGAAAATGAAAGTGGCACGAGCAGAGGAGAGGGATGTGCAACTGACTCCTTGGATGAAGATGACTCAAGCTGTTCTTCAAGCAATAATGCTTTTGGATCATTCTCTTCTCACTGGATGATGATGAAGAGGGATGAGCATGGACTGGATGACTGGGAGGTCTCAGAGAGCCCCCAACATTTTTATGTAAAAGAGAAACCTGCATATACCATTCAGTTTTCAGATGTGGATACCATGAAAGAAAAATTTGCAAAGCTGTTATTGGGTGAAGATATTACAGGAGGACGCAAGGGGCTCTCCACTGCATTAGCATTGTCCAATTCCATAACGACTCTTGCAGGTATAACCGATAACCTACTTGGTTTATTACCTTAAAGTATACTTCTGTTGACCATTTATTAATCAATGGCAACTATCATGATTTCTTTTGACATGTGCCCTAGTGTGAAGGTTGTAATAAACAAATTTCTCTCGCTTGGAATCATGATTGAATTTAAGGGTACTGATATGAAAACATGGGGATATTTGGTTCATAAAATTATGAAGATGCTGGTAATCTAAGCCTCTTTTAGTTCATTCTATGTGTCAATTTCCAATAGCGAAGACATTCTGAGAGTTTTTGCTGGATGTAAGAAATGCAAAGATACAAAGTCAATCTCTGCTATATGAATTGACATGTAAAGTACATGAAATATATGCACAGGCATGAGAGTTAAAGTTAGTGGATAGAACAACACAGATAAAAGTAATGGTGTTTCATAGAAAACTCTAGGGGCCTCGATCCTGGCCCTGGCGATGTTTCTTCTATTTCCATGCCAGTGTTAAAATCATCTTCTGTCCCAAACTGAAATGCTATAAATTGACTTGCAGCATCAGTTTTTGGGGAGCTGTGGAAATTGGAGCCATTGCCAGAGGAAAGGAAGAGCAAATGGCGAAGAGAAATGGACTGGTTACTCTCCCCCACAAACTATATGGTTGAGTTGGTTCCTGCTAGGCAAAATGGTGCCAATGGCCGGACTGTGGAGGTATGTCTTGTTTCTTTTGGAATCAAAGAGCTTAAATGTAATTTTTTTCAATGTAGTGGAATTTAGCTCTTTATTCCCATTGGAGCAGATAATGACCCCGAAAGCTCGTGCAGACATCCATATGAACATTCCGGCACTTCAGAAGTTAGATTCAATGCTTATTGTAAGTGGTCTGTTGCCTCCCATCAAAATGAAATAAATTACTTGTAGACTGATGAGATTAGTCTAATATTCCAGTTGTGTATCCCAAACTGACAGGAGACACTGGATTCAATGGTTAGCACTGAATTTTGGTACGCGGAAGGAGGCAGCCGAGCAGAAGGAAGGAGCAGGAGTGCAAGACAGAGCAAAAGGTGGTGGCTTCCTTCGCCCCAAGTACCAATTTCTGGGCTATCAGACTCTGAAAGGAAGAAATTGCTACATCAGGGGAAAATGGTCCACCAGGTGCTCAAGGCTGCCAAATCCATCAATGAAAATGTCTTGCTTGAAATGCCTGTTCCTAACATCATCAAAGACACACTTCCCAAGGCAAGGAAGCTTTCTTCACTTTAAAATCTTCAATAGAGCATCAATCTTATGTCAACTGGAGTGTTGTTACTGCTATATGTTTATTGAATATCTTAAGAATGGTGTGAAGAAACTTCAGAATAGGGATCTGTTGCAGCTCTGTTATTGATTATGACTTGAGTTTCTTTATGCATGTTTACAGTCTGGAAAGGCAAGCCTGGGCGAAGAACTGTACAGAATCTTGACTTCAGAATCAAAGTCAACTGACGAAATGCTTACTTCTCTCAATTTAAAATCTGAAAACAGTGCCCTTGAAGCTGTTAATAGGTTGGAAGCCGCAATATTTGCTTGGAAAGAGAAAATTACAGAGCAAGCCAGTGGTAGATCTCCAGTTCGAACATCATGGTCCTTCATAAAAGATCCAATATCTGAGCTTGATAGGATGGAGTTCTTATTGTACCGAGCAGAAAATCTTCTACAGCAGCTCAAGAGCAGGTATCCTAACCTTCCCCAGACATTTCTCAATGTCACGAAAATCCAATATGGCAAGGTGAGTACAATAAACTGCAAGTTATAATTCTTAATAATTGATACGGTCTCTGATACATAGACATTCTGCCCATTGCCTCCATGTCCATATATATATATATATATATATATAGAATATTTGAAAGAAAAAAAAAAGTTGATAGATCATAGAATTTGAACCTACTGCATCAGCTCCATGGTCTTTCCAACTTTTTATGCTTTACAACTTAGTTTCTTAAGATCTGATTATACTCATGATCTTTTGGTAATTATCTAGTGAAGAAATAGTCCTAGTAATTGGCTTTTATAAAGTGTTACAAACTTGTAGAACTCTTGAATTGTATGGTATTTATGTGAATCATTCATGTAATGCGCAGAAGTAACTCATTATAATAATGGCTTTTACCCATGCTATCATACATACTTGAGAACATTTATGTTATTCTATAACAGAAAATGCCATTTGCTCAATAAACATGTCAAAAAGCAAGTAGAGTTGGCAAACATCTTTATGGCTAAATAACACCATCATAATAATAGGTACCATTAAATAGTAAGGAAAAAAAAAAAAAAAACAGTATTTAATACACCACTAATATGGTTTAGATCGCATGTTATTAGTGAAATATCCCATAATGTTTCACGCCAACTGTTGTCACATAAAGTTATAATGTTCTGACAAAAAACCAAGGAATAATTTGGTTGTTCTCTTTAAATTTTTATAGGATGTTGGCCACTCAATACTAGAAGCATATTCTCGGGTTCTTGGTAACTTAGCATTCAGCATACTCACTCGGATGGGAGATATATTGCAAGAAGATGTTTTGAGCAATCCTAATTCGCCGGTTGCATCATGTAACTTTCCTGGAATCTCAGATACTCCAGTGCTGAGCCAACGCGTAAGGCACTCACTCATCGATCAAATGAACAATGTGGACGGACAGTTACGCGACTCCAATACAAGTCATGCTTCTGAATTAGAACTTTCATATGGTGAAGCCAGAACCAGTTCAGTGAGTGCAACACCTAGTTGGAGTCGAGTGTGGTGCATCAGAAGAGAGGCTTGTGGCAGTGTATCTCCTAAATGTTCTCCTTGATAAAGAAGAGTCTGATTTTCAATAGTTCTTTCTGTAAATGATTTTACTATATGTTTAATGAGAGAACAATTTTTGTTGTGCTTGAACAAAACAAGTTTTCTATATATATATATATATTTTTGCATGATTTCATAGGGTAATTAATTTTGGTCATGGATATTTAAGGGCTATGTGTTTGGCATATTAGTTAAAAGGGAAACAATACGCACCGACAGCCGATGCCCAATGTGAGAGGGAGTTGTGGGGTCCACAGTGTCAGCTGTTCGGTTTCCTAGCAGTACTGTATTTAAAAACATATGGCTGGAGAAGACGATCCATTATTTATTAGCAAGGAATTTCAAGGGAATGCAAGTTGTCTAGTTATGGTTCAGTTTGTTGAATCAAAGATGTAAACAGTTTTTTTAAAAAAAGTGATTCAATGCAACCAAGAAGTTAGTAGCTAAAAGTTAGGCTTCTTGAAGATTAAAAAATTTTGCTAGAGAAATGATGATTCCAGTGTGTCTAAAGGACCTAAAGGTATGCGCGCGCGCGCGCACACACACTGTTTCTAATTCTTTCTTCCATCTAACACCTTAAATCAAAACCACCTGCCAGCCAACTTTCTTTCCATATTAAACTGTTCAAATTACTGAATAGGATTTAAAGGGACATTATAAAATTGGAAAGTGAGTCATTTAAACATATTGGCAAGCACATTGTGTGCCTACAAATACCCTTCAGAGAGGAAGTTTGAAGCACTAAAATATGTTGAAGTGTGTGTGTGTGTGTGTGTATATATATATATATATTTTTTTTCCTGAATGAGGAATATATTCTTACAAAAACATGGATCATCCACGTGTGTAGCAGCAGTCATGTGGTACAGTTCTGTACACCATAATACTTTTTCCCTTTTTCCTTCTTATACTTCTATGAACCTGTCAACTATCTTGGGAAAAAGAACCTAGCCAGATTCGCATACATGCTAGATTAAGTTTTGGCCGAACATCACTTACATTATTCCTCAAGATTAAGTTTTGGCCGAACATCACTTACATTATTCCTCAAGGCGGCTAAACCAGTCTGCGATGGTTCTTGAAAGGACCCTAGTTTCATTTACTGATAGAGTCTTGAGTCCTTGAGCAATAGCATCTGCTGGAGTGTACCAGTAACCTACTTGCCATCTTGGTTCCTGATCATGAAAAAAATATTTAGAATTTGGTAGAGATGGATGATCATGGTCAATAGTCAACTGACTGGAAGGATGGTACAGCTTCCTAGATCAAAGAAGTTGGGTAAAAAATATAGGGAAAACTACATATAAGTAGTATTATGAGCTTTAAATAACAAATTGATCAATTTTAAAAGTTAATTTTTCACATTGATTGAATTAAAAAAATAATTACAAATGCATCAAGAATTATTGCTAAGATCCGTAATGGCCTCACACTCTTATTACAAAATACAAAAATATCCTTCTTAAAATTACCTAATTTCAAATATTAAAATAAATAATTAAAATTTAGTTTAACTAGCAAATAAAAATTCTCCATCTCTTCTCTTCGTCGTCCATCGCCATGGATTACCCTTCGGAATTGATACCATCGCCATGGATTACCCTTCGGAATTGATATCATCTGATCTGAAAGGTAAGAATTGAAAAGGGAAGCTCTACAAACTTACTATAGCATTGATACCTAAAAGAAGCTATTATTATTGATACCTAAATGAAACTTACTATAGCATTGATACCTAAAACTTACTATAGAAGATTTTTCAATTGTTACCTAAAAGAAGCTATTATTATTGTTAATATATTAGAAGATGTCAAAACGGGATTTATTAAGGATTTCATATCCTAGCAGGGTAATGAAGTATTGAAATATCCACCTGCCTTTCTTTTTTCTTGTCCAGAGGTCTCTAGTTGTTCCTTCTTCAATCAATTATAAAAAATCACAATAAATTTTGAAATGCCAAATTGATAACCCTATGCAAGAATCCTAAATTCATAAGATATAACATACTTCAAAGCCTACAGAGTCCTAGATCTGAAACTCCTAAACAAAAATATAACATATTTATATTTATATGTGTGTGTGAAGAGAGAGAGCAAGGGACCTAGAAGACCTGGACATTGGTAGCTGATTGACGACGAATGTAAGTGATAGAGAATTAGTATTCGCTAGTCATACTAATTTTTAATTATTTATTTTACTATATTGAAATTATATAATTTTAAGGAGGATATTTTGGGATTTTGAAATAAGATTGTGAGGATATTTTGGACCTAAGCAATAAATATTGATGTATTTGTAATTATTTTGTTTAATCCAATCAAAATTGAAAATTAACTTTTAAAACTGATCGATTTGTTATTTATGACTCCTAACTTTACCTATGTGTAGTTTTCCCAAATATATATATATATATATATGTTTGCAACAAGGCATGTTCATATTTCAGAAAATATAACCTGAAGTTCATGACTGATAATATTGAACAATATATCTGGCAAACTTGCTACATGATAATCTCCTCTAGTTTTGAGTTATATGCATTGGTATAATTGTTATCAATTGTAAAAAAATTACTTTCTGTTTTCCCCTAGACACCTCAAGCTTTTTCTGGCCGTTATATGATCATTTAATTACATAGTGCACCATATGCGTATAGATCTGGGTGAAGAAGTCATGAAAAATGAGATGTTCGAAACTGAGCACTATGTCATCGACTGCCTATATGGACAAAGGTAATTTATGTAAAATATCATAAAAGCTAATTTCAATTTTTTACTCAACCCTATGTGTATCAAAAAAAAGTTGCATTCTCTACTTGATCTGCCTAGGTGGAGTGCTGGGAGGGGAGAAGTGACATGGCATTGTTTTGCACAAAGTTATTGTTCTAAAACTCATGATATTTAAACCTACGTATAATGGATCTTCTTTTTGTATTTTATATTATTTATTTATTTACATTTTTATTTGTCAATGCAGCAGAAGCGCACACTGAATGATTTTTTTATGCATTTCACAAACATCTACGGAAGGGTGCATTTGGCTGGCTCATTACAATCTCCTTAACTGCCAGCTTCACTCAAATATGTGCACTCTTTCATATAGAGAGTATCTAGAAGCAAAACAAGCCAAAACAATGTGACAAATTTTTTATCTGTAATTTACCAATATATATATATATATATATATATATACCTGTATGCATGGAGTAATATGGGTACCACTCAATGAGACTTTCTCTAATGTTCCACCTATGGATTCCACACGAGGTTTCAATGTCTCTTCAAGGAGATCTGTCTCATCAATTGCGTCAGAATTGAACTTCACCTAAAACAAGAACCAATATATTCACCAAAATAAACATAAATAACCTTCCATTTGAAATAAATCCTATAGTTGATTTAACCACCAACAGATGGTTTGCTCTTACCAACAAAGAAGATTCAAAAGAAAAAAGGAAAATCAATCTTGGCATTGAGATGGCATTATACTTACCAATAAAGTACGCTGGACATTGTATGATTTCTTAAAATAATCACGATTCTCAGAAGGTGTTGGCTTGAACTCTGATATACCTTGCACAACCTAAAAAAAACAATACCAATTTTAATGATGGACAATACAAAAGTACCAGTCCACCACTTGAAGATAGCTGAAAGACTCTGGAAATAATGTGACACAGTTTGTAAGAGGCCCAAGGAAGAAGAATTTAAAGAAAATAAATAAATTCGGAAATTTGGCTCAGTTTAAGGGCACTAACTTTTTTGAACTAATTGAGGATATTTCAATAGCCTTTAATACGCTTTAGTTCTAATTTTAGGCTAGAACATTTTCAATTATTTTTCATTATCAGAAATACTTAGGTAAATTGGTTTGGGCCGGGAAGGAGTTACCAAAAAGAAGGGGCTGCAGAGTGTACTGCCACGGTGGGCTTTTTGTATTTAACAGTTTAGGAGTTTACACAAGAGACAAGCCTTACCCTTACTTCTCTTTCAATATTACACCTAGTGGCTTGAATTTCCTCGGTTTCTAGGTCAACTCAACGTTCAACTCAACAAAATCTTTTCCCAATTATTTGGGTTTGGATGCAAGAGTCTTATTTTGTCATTGTGCTCTAAGACTATGACTCTTTCTTTAACTATCTCAATTCATATTAGTTATGGTCTTCCCCTTCCCCTTCCCTTTACCCTAAATAAGGACTATGTAACTATCTTATCGGTTGTCATTCACTTTTTCTTTAATCGATGCTACTTCAACCATCTCATGAATGTGTTCATTTCTAATTTTATTATTTTTTGTCTTGCCACACATTCAATATTCTCATTTCTGTCATACTCATTTTATGTACATATTGCTTTTTAGCCACCCAACGTCTTGTCCCCTAATTTACCCCCCCAAAGAAAAAATTATAATCCTTGAAGTATGGTTGATATAACAGATTTTTATAGAATTTCTCCTTCATTGTTAAAAGCATGCACCAATCATAGAAGATCTCATCCATTTTATCTGTCCTGCTTTAATTCTAATTTATATCATCTCTATTTTCTCCCTCACTATGCAAAACGAGTCAATGGAAATGTTCACTCTTTGGTACCTCTTGACCCTCAATAGTCACAATCTCACTATTTATATTTCAAATTTTACAAAATTTATGTTTTATGTATTCAGCTTCAATCCTACTTATCTTAAACACTCCTAATTCTAGAATCTTTCTAGACCTCTAGTTTAACACTTATCTCTGCTCTAGTTTCATCAATCAGAATGATATCATTACCAAATGGCATAAAGCTTGGAACATCGTCCTAAATATGTTTCTTTTTTAATTCATCCATATCTACGACAAGAAAGATACGGGCTTAATACCAACCCTTGAACCTACAGTAATTGGAAGTTCACTTGTTTCTCCAAGTTCTTACTATGGTCATTGGTCTCTGTTTCATCAAAGATGTGCTTTACCACATCATTATACCTTTTAGTAACTTCTTCCTTTTTTAAAACCCACCATATTTTATCTTTAGGAACCACATCGTAGGCTTTTTCCTAATCTTTCTTTTTCTCTCTCTAAATCTTTCCATTAATCTGCTCAATAAATAAATACTTTCCTCCATCGACTTCTTTGACTTCTTGGCATATATTAAATTGATTATCCGCGACTATAGTTTCACACCTTAGTTATTGTTCCATAATTCACACTCAAAGTTTTATAATATAACTCATTAATTTGATACCATGATAATATGAACAATTTGAATATCCCCTTTATTTTTCTATATATGTACTAAAAAACTTTTACAACACCCTAGGCATCTCTTTAGTTACTTTTATCTAATTGAATGATTTAATTAGCCAAGACACATCACATGCCATCACCACCTAAGTACTTCCAAGCCCCAATAGGAATGCCATATAATCAGAAAACCTTTCCTATTTTCATCTTAGTGGATGCATTTTTTTACTCAATGCTGTATATACATAGGCCTTTCTCTTCTCTACTGTCTTTCACCATCTACTTTGCCTTATTTTATCATTACCTAATAAAAATCTATGCAAAGGTTATCTTGCATCATGATGCCATGATCCCCCAGCAAAAATGAAAAAGAAGGCTCATGCTCATCTGTTAAGGTTATAGACCCATGAATAATCATTATTTAAAATTATTGCTTATCCTATGACCTAATCCTTTTTGTGAATTTTCACAAATATATTTATATTGGTAAATTTTATTTGAAGTTTCATAATCTAATAGAAGCTTCATTGTCTAAATTGTTTATTTCAGCAAAGGTCAGTTAAAGAAAGGCAAGAATCATCCACAAAAGTAATGAAAATTCCCATACAAATGCATATCCATGTGATATCATTTAGGCACCAAGTCACTGAAATACCTGATCTAATAGAAGCTTCATTGTCTAAAATTGTTTATTTCAAGTAGGGGTGGCAAACGGGCGGGTTGGGCCGGGTTTGGGTTGGGTTGAAAATGGGCGGGTCAAACATGTTTTGAGGCCCACATTCAACCCTTTTAGAACCGGTTGAAAATGGGCGGGTCAAAAATATGCAGGGTCAACCCGCTATGACCCGTGAACCCATTAATTATTATTATTTTTAACTAATTCCATGAGGCATTCACAATAGGACTGAACCGTTTATAAAGTATCCGACCCATTTACTACTAGAATCTTGCTCCATAATTTGTTCAACAGAATCATCACTATACTCGTCCATTATGTGCACCAATTTGAAGATAAACTTCTGTCAAAAATAAATGAAATATAACAATTTAACAATCACACCACTATTACAAAAAAAAAAAAAAAAAAAACTAAATAGTGTATTTATACCAAATGGGTGTTCTTTATTTGTTGTGTAAATTGAAAAGTATGTATGTATATATTTATATATCAATAGACTGAGGCAAGTGCCTTATATTTATATGGGTTAGTCACTGATTCACCATATATATAATTGCTTATCTATATAATGGATTGAATTTCCCCCAAAAAAAAAAAAAAATTCCATATTATAATTTTGAGATCTGTATTTCAACTAATTTTTTTGAGGATAGATGTTGTTTGACTAAAATGAATTCAGATTAAAGATGTTGGATAATTCAGATTAATCCAATACGAACATGTTGACAAGGGGTATGATTTGATTTGATAGAAAACAAGAAACTAAGAACAACAATTGGATAAACAATGGTACGACCTTTTTACAAAAACTGAAAGCTAAAGCTAAGCATAAACAGTGAAAGTTCATGTGCATCACTCCTATCATAATAATGTATTATTATTTTTCATAAGAGAAATACAGAGATACACATACATATTTATATATACATTTATTTAAATAAATAAAAAACAATCTCAAACTCAGCAATATTTATCGACTCGTTTTAGAGAGAGAGAGAAGTGAAGGAAAGAGAAGAAATTTCTAGAGAGAAACTTAGAGAGAGAGGGGATTGATGAGAGACAAATTTAGAGAGAGAGAGGATCGTGAGTTAGAGAATTTTAGAGAGAGAAAAATGGGGCGAGTGTAATATAGAATAAATGTGTGTTGTGTGTCTATTATGTGATGAGTGAAATATGGGTACCCATATTCAACCCACTTAACCCTCATTTAAGTGGTTAAAAATTACCCAACCCATTTTGACCCACTTTAAATATGGTTCACCCAAAACCATTAAAAAATAGATGGATATGGGCGGGTTGATGGGTTGTGACCCATTTTGTCACCCCTAATTTCAAGGAAGGTCAGGTAAAGAAAGGCAAGAATCATCCACAAAAGTAATGAAATTCCCATACAAATGCATATCCATGTGATATCATTTAGGCACCAAGTCACTGAAATACCTGATCCAAAACTGAGGGCAACTGATCAACAAATTTGTTCAACGAAATCACAGCTTCCTGATCATAGTCGGGCATCATTGCTCCAGCTGTCTCAAGTAGCATCTTCCATGCATCTCCTATATATTTGAATCCATGGGAAGTGAGAGAAATTAGGAAATTAAAAAAGTGAAAAAATAAGAGAGGCTAAATGTGACATCTTTATGTTACACAGGATTAAATAAAGGAGAATTATATGACTCTAAATGAAGACATTACAATGATAAAAGGACAAAAGAGAATGGGGGGCAAGGAAGTGATGAAAGGCATGATGGTGTCTGAATTTAACAAAGAACCCTATAAAGGGTCAAAAGGTGGAAATAAATATTCCTGACCGACCCTAGGCTTTTTCTGCTGCTAGAAATCCAGAGGAAAATTGGGGGAAATAGATTCTAGAAGAAATTCTTCAGCAAAGAGAATTTTACTCCCAATGACTTTTTCTAGGCAGAGGGCAGGTATATCCAGTTAAACCTACACTGCCATATATAGATAACCCTTTTTATGTTCCTTGTATTATCCCAATATTATCATGCCACTTCTTCCAAACAAAAAGAATATAGCACTTTTTTACAATTCAGAATTTGCCAACTCATCAATTATCCTCCCTCATTCATAGGAAGTACACTAATGCCAAATTCCTTCGGACTAATGTGAGATAAGACTAACTGCATGAGTAGGGAAAAGATATGGTAAGGTATCTGGACACGAAAAAAAAAAAAAAAAAAAAAAGAAAAGGAAGAAGAAGAAGAAGATAGGGACGCCAAGTCTCAAGTAGTTATATAGAAAGTAGTCTAAATGATACTTGTATTAAAATCAAATAGTCTTTTTTTTTTTTTTTCCTGAATGTATTAAAATCAAATAGTCTTTTAATAGATCTGCAAGGCGTCACGAATAGTCCTAACATAAAGCCAACCTAATTATTTTTACTAAATATTGCAATTTTCTTTATAAAATTTATGATACTGATGCTGACTCTTTATTTATTTATTATTTTATTATTTATTATTTTTGTTAGGAGGTTGGTTTAGGAAGAGTATCGTTAGATTATTAAAAGGTTAATTTTTTCCCTTTCTCTAAAGGCTACAGATTAAATAACTTGCAATAGGTTATTATCTAGTTCAATCAAATATGTACACGTTACTTAAATCATACTTTCATTCAGGAATTTCTAATGTTAAAATTAAGTAGGATTAGGCCCATAAAAGCCTTTAACTTAGATGAACTCTTGTCTGAAAAAATTACTCTTACCTACAAGTAACATAAAATTCGAGACAAGAGTTAACAAAACCGAGAAGAGTTTAGATTCATTTTACCTGAGGCATTCTTAGCCATTGAGTATATTGGAGATGCTTCCATAGCAGGCATCACCTGACTAACTAGAGGACCAAACTGCAAAACAGTATTATGAACACTTCAGATGAAATAGTCATTTGCCAAACAAACATGAATAGTGATTAGTGCCAGAAGGCTACTGAATAATTGCATTCAATAACTGAATAAAAACCAGTATCTGTCAGTGACTCAGTGGTTTAGATGGAGAGGGAGGGCAGAAGGTTGGGTGGAAAGGTCAATCAACCAAAAATGCAATGGCACAAGATCTGTATTACAATAATAAATAAAAAAGTTGCTACAAATTTTACAACAATTACAAGATCGTTAGCAGTATCAAGTTGCAGGAAGGGTATCAATAGGAGCTACCTCTGACACACAGTTATTTAACTTTCTCTGTATTAGTATTTTTCTCTATTTTCTTCTTTAAAATAATCAGCCTGGCATCAGAAAAGTTTGAAGCCATTTTTGTACTTTCTTCCCTCATCTTTGTTTCTATTCTTCATTTTGTAGACTTGTTCTTTTCTGACTGTAGTAAGGCAGACATAAGCTTATTCCAATTACCTCAAAAATCCATTCCTCTAATAATGTCATTGAAATACAAATAACATCTCAGGTCCAAAGGAGTCTGCCTACTGCTTACCATGGGATCATTCAGGGAAGATGTTTTGAGTGGTAAAGATAAACTGAAGTGTCAATACTTATTTGTGTGTGTGTATAGCAGAAGACATTTAGTGCCCAATCAAACACAAATAAGGAAATGACTCAGAAAGTGTTAACTGTACAGAAGTAAGATTGTCTTAACATTGCTGTGAAATAGTGTGGAGCTTACTGTTTGTGCTTATCTTAGAAGCACAGAAACTTTTATATCTCAGAAATGTTTGTCTTCCACTAACCTTGGATGCAGGTGAGCAATGAAACCTTGTAAATGCTAAAGAAACTTTATCAACAAATAAAAGGCATAATGACTATACAAATATCTCTACATATCACAAAAGATGCAATTCCCCAAATTCCACTGGGAAAGGCTACCATCATGGGACTTTCTATTCATTTTGAAGACAAAAATCTCGAATGCAATTCCCCTAATTCTACTGGGAAAGGCCATCACACGACTTCCTTTTCATTTTGAAGACGAAAATCTCAAAAGTTATAAAGCCAAAAAGATTTGATATTCTTCCAGGCATCATTAACACGAATTGAGTTGAAATACACATATGATCCAAGCCAATAAATTAACAATCTATGAAAATAATAATAAACACTAAATGCTGTAAAAAATAGTTACCTGCTCAAAATAAGGTACTGCCTCTGTTGCTGGCCTGTTGTTGTACGATATTATGGCATTCGCCTTCAACAAAAATATGAGATCTATTTGTCACACTCCAGATCAGGTCGTTTAATTTAAACTAAGGGACACTAAAAGAAAACATCCTGCATCTACAAAGTACAAACTAACATGTCCAAGGTGGAAAAAGAGACAAATAAACCTTCGGTATCTTCTCAGAGAAATAACTTCCAGTGAGTACTTGAAGAAGTGCACCGTTGCTGCAAATTACATTTTATAAAAGGATGTTACTAAGAATATGATAAAATGTTGACTTAGCAAGTGCTCTAGCAGCTGGTTATGTGATGGTGAGTCAGAAAGAACACTTTTATTAAGTACATGAACACTATATTTATTATATTTTTTTTTTAAGTTTCATTGAGATGAACTCACCTATGTCCAACAGAATAAAGTGGAAGGTGAACTAGTTCAGCAGCTGTTAAGTTCTCATCGGGCAATCCAGATATTAAAATTATATTCAAGCAGGCATTGAACCTCTCGTAAATTTCCCTAGAAGCTTGAGCATGATCAAAGGTCACGTTATATGGCACAGAAATAATAAGATAGCCTGCATTTGCCAGAAGCTCAAGTAGATAGCTGCAAGTATAGAACAGAAGAGATATAATAAGGTCAGAAGCTAAGATAGATAACTTATGCGAAATTGTAAATTAGTACTAAGAAACTCAGATAGAAACTGGCACAATAACAGTAAAGAAATTGGCCTCTCAATAGTTTTACAAACAAATAAAAATTATATTTGCATCAGAGTGACTGAACTTCTCACCTGTAGCTAACTTCAGGAACCGCTCCAATAAAGGCACCGCCAAGGAATTTGACAATTGCCTTCGGCTTCTTACCTTTGGGTGGAGCAACTACCAAACAAGAACCAATCCTTTTATAAATCTTACTATTGTTCTTATTATTATTTGTCATCGAATTGGCCCTCCCAACATATCCATTTGAAACCGTCATCGGAGAGCGACTCAGTGCACAGATGGTACTTTTTCCAATATATGGAAACCAAGACCACTGTCGCTGCTCAATCTTTTGAGGCATGTGGAAAAAATCCCTGAAATTCTTCAGGGAAAGGCACTTAAGTTTCATGTTTGGGAGACCAGAAAACGTAGCCAATTCGGTACAACTACAAATGTGCACTCCGGCCATTGTTAACTGCACTTGCAATCAGTTCAAGAAACGAATTGACACTGTGAAAGTGTTTGTTGAATCAGTAAAGAATCTGCATATTGAATAAATAAAATATTAATAAACAGCTGTTACTGACTCTCCCTCAGAAAGCAATTCTGGCTCTGCCCTGCCTTCTACATTCTAATAGGTATATACACAATCATATATACATACATACACAAATATATAGATATAAAAATCAGACAATAAATTGAAGATGCAATCGACTGAAAGATTATGAGAGTGAATAAACCAAACGACGACAGAAGAATAAGAATACCGAATCTCAAAACCGGAGAGTTTTGTGCCAGAAATTCATAAGTGCGAGGAATAAGATTTATATATATACAACAACAACAGTGTCACACATATATATAGATATATAGAGAGATTGGCATACCTGATACACAACGACTGACGGTGATGACGACGACGGAGAGGAACAATGTAAGCTGTTCCCTTCCCCTTGGTGTAACCGTGGAATCAAAGGCCCAAAAAAGGCTTTTTCTTTCTTTTTATTTTTTATTTTTTATTGTATGTATTAATATAAACACATCGACGTGGTTAAACATGAGTCATTACTAAAATTCTCTGGCTAATACAAATTTTCTTTTATTTTTAGGTGAAATGGTACCTGAGCTCTATGAACAATCGATCTCAATTCAGTTCAATGTAACAGTGTTGTCAATTAGGAGTCATTTAATTACATGAATCATTTATTCTCTAATAATATCATCGCAATCTTACTTTTTCTAAATTTTGCACTATAGTCTTGATTATATTTTTTAATGAAATAAAAATGAGTTCTTTAAATTTAAGGATTGTTAAGGTTTGGGAGGGATTCAGCAAGTGATTGTCAAAGTTTGTGAAATTCCATTGTGGGAGCATTTTGAACTCGTATATATATCATTATTCATATTAGAAACCCTAACGTATCATTGTTCATATTAGAAACCCTAACATATCCTCAGGGATTGGGTATTTATTCCTCATTTAATCATTGTTCATATTAGAAACCCTAACTCATATTAGAAACCCTAACATATCATTGTTCATATATAAACAGGAATATATCATTATTCATATTAAAAACCCTCCAAAAGTTTTTTCTACCCCAGATGCAATTAACTCTGCGGATTTGTCAATTAATGAAACCACAGGAGTTAATTGTCAAAAGAAAAAAATATAAAATGGTGCTTCATGTATACAATTACCTTGATTTTTTTTAAAAAATATAAAAAATAAAAAAATTACCAGTTAATATCATAAATATAAGTGGTTTTCTTTATCAAGCTTAATCATTGCAGTATATTAAGTTTTAAGACACCAACCAAAGAAAAAAGAAAATATTATATTGAAGTTGGTGTTCATTTGAAATTAACGAGACAGGTGCCTCACATAATTGTGAAACTAACATTAGTGCGGGATGAGAGGTCCGTGTGATACACCCAACTCGTCAATTTTGGAATTTAATTCCCTTGTCAAAATTTTGACTTATTCATCCTTTCATTGAAACTTTAGCCTCCTCTTATATTTTGTGCCAAAATGACTTTCCAATTTGCTATAATTTACCCTCTTCTATTATACAACAGTATTGGCTTGGGTTGTAATAGTTGTAATTTATTTATATATGTATAATTGTGTGGTGAAAATAAAAGGAAAAGGAATAAAAAAAAAAAAAAATGTTTTTGGTGGTGGGACCTACCATCTTTTTTAAAGGTTAAGAAGTCATTTTGGCCTCTTACTTCTCTTCCTCCCCCGTAACTGTCTCTCTCTCATTCTCTTTGTAGATTTTTCTTTTTCTTTTTGCTTCAAAAATTCAAACCTTAATATCTCCCTCACCATTTGAAGTTTTTAGATACCGTTTGCAACAAATTAAAGAGAGCGTCGATATCTTCGATTTGATCGGAGCAAAGGTGGTTTTGGTGTACCCTAAGAATTTTGAATTCTAGGGTTTGAATTCGGCAAATTTGAGGATTTTCTACAATATTGAGGTAAGGGTGTTCTAATCTATGACTTCTTGAATTTTTTGTGAATTTTTCTCTTTAATTTGACCTTAAGCATGTTTAATTTTAATTATCTTGTCCATTGCTATTGTGGTTGTATGTGCTCAAAATGACAAATGTGTTTTACATGCTAATTGGGTTATATACATGGCTATTTACATTATTATGAAGAAGCATGTCTAATTTTGGTATGTTGTGTGACTTGTGAATTCCCAATTGCTATGGAAATTGATGTTGTGGTTGTGAAATAATTATTTGGAATTTGCTATCAAAAAAAAAAAATATATATATATATATATATATATATATATAGATATAATAATAATAATAATAATAATAATAATAATAATAATAATAAAATGATGATGATGTAGAAGAGCATGTAAAATTTTATTATTGAATTTGGCATTCGGAAGCATGAAGCATTCATGCATTCATTGGGAAAAGTAAAAGGGAAATGCTTGTTTTAAAAACAAATGAAATTGTTTTGGGGAAAAAAGTTTTTGGAATAGTATTTGTGAAAACCCGGACGCTTAGGAGGCGCCTAGTGATCCGTGGTGTTAGTGTAGTCTAGAGAGGATTAGGGATTGAGCTAACTAGGCCGGATGCGACGCCTTGGAGGTGCCTTATGGTCGTGGATAGTTAGTCAATCCTCCTTTCGTGAAGCCTTGGAAGTGTCTTGGGTCGAATTACACTAACGGTTTGAAAGTTGAAACGGAATTGTTTCGGAAATGGTGAGCGACATGGGCATGGCATTGCACTTCATTGGCATATATGGTGTATTTGTGACTTGGATGACGTTGTGTTTATATTTGACGTTGTGGATATATATGGCATCCCCGGTATAATATGATCCCGTTCTCTTGAATTTTATTCTATACGTGGACTCACGGGGTCATAAGAGGTGTGTCTTAGACACCTCCTACTAAGCTTAAGTTCACCCCATTATTTTAACATTTTTCAAGTTTGGGAAGGGAAGTGGCGGACGACATTCCTCCACAAATTTTGATGGGTTAGTGGACTGTTTGACCTATTTTGTGTCAAGGGTTATACTTCGGTTATTGTGTATATATATAAGTATGTCTTATGTATATACCTATTTTCTTATGTATTTATGCGATCAAGCATATGATGGTTATATGAGTTTTGACCTGAGTAGAAAAGAAGCTCGGTTGCGCCAGGGTTGTTGGGTATTGGTTCTTATCGAACTACAGGTATTGACTTCTAACTCATGGATTGAGTTATTGGGTGTGTATCATTTTGATCTTCTTGTTGCATTTTGTACGATGTTTAGAGCACGACTTTAGAATGGGCTCACATTTTATGGCACGGTGTTTATGTTGTGTGTGAGTTTCATGCATCGGTGTATGGGTTTTTGTGACCGTGGAGGTCAGGTGTACGAGTGAGGGTTTCGTAGGAGAAAGGTATGACCTTAGGGATTTAGTGATTGTGACTTAGGTCACGATTTAGTATTGAGGTTCTCTCGAATCGGTTTGTGGGGGTGTGATAGAGGTTGCTTGAGTCACGAGTATAGTCTATGGGTTGTAGACGTGTATTTCGAGTATTTTGGTACGGTCTAAAGAAGCATATTGGTTTTGATTGTTAAGGGGACTTGTTGGACTCTGTAGGTTTAAGGTGACGTAGGACCGGTTGCGGGATGTGGATCATTTTGTGGTCATGTAAGAGTATGTCTTAGAGACTTGTTAATCGAGGGTGATTCCCATTTCGGGAAGCTACAGGAGCGTGTTGCGAGTAATTAACTCTCGGTGAGTTGATTGCATGGCTTGGTGGATGAGCGGGATTATAGGTTGTCACAGTTCTCGAGAGAGTCTCGAGGTGGTGTATAGTGGACAATTTTAGCTGTGTAGTGTAGGATTGCACGATAAGGTAGGTAGTATGGGGTTATTGGAGTACCGGGTCATTTGAGGACTAAGTGAAAGAGGATAGGTACGGTGTATCTAATGGATTGTGTTTTTGAAATTGAAAGCTGTGGACTAGAGTTGAATTTTAAGTTGTGTCTGGGGTACGGGGAAGTAGTACATGTTGTTTAAGGATCCGAAGAGATAGACAGATGATTAAAATGATTGGAATGAGGGTTATCTCGTAGGTTTAGTTGGTAGCCCCATTTGACTTTTATCGGGGCCAAGAGTGTTTTAAGGAACAGTGAAGAGGGGGAGGTAGTGACGTTGAACCTGGGGTATGAAGTTTTATTGTTTAGGTACGTAGATTGTGTTTAGGATGAGTGGTTTGAGTAACCAGATACGCGTTTGTGATTGATTGCCTCGTTGATGGTTTTGAGGTGACAGTTGAGTGATGAGCATTTTGAAATTTGTGCTTAATTTGTTTTGAGGATTTGTCAGCATGGCATTGTCGTATGGAAGTTCTTTCCTAGTGGTAAATAGTAGCTGTTGTGGAAAGTATCGAGAGAAATGCTTATTCTTTTGTTATGATGGTGTCATCAGTTGAATTACTTGATGGTGACTTGGTGATGTAGTGAGATGAGAAGTTTGAGTTGTCATTCGAGAATGATGGTAGTAGAGGCGTTATGGCGTGATGTTTAGTATTGATGAGCATAATGGTTTGGAGTATGATCAGAGGGTGGTTTGGAGATTATGAGTTGTTTGTTGTATGTTTTCAGGTAGGTGATGGGGGTTGTGCATCAGTCGAGGTGATGGTGAGCAGCTTAGTCTTTAGAGCCAATGAGGACAATGTTGCCAGATAGGCACCCTTTTTCTTTTGACGAGTCAGTGGGTTATTGTGACTGAGATCACGAGTTGAGTGTGCACGGTGATCGAGGTAGTATCGTCTGGGAAGGTAGTGATGGAACGGGTGGTAAAATGTCATTTTATGGCATAGGGGTTGCCATTTGGGAGTGACAGGATGCAGTGTCTGATGGGTTGTGATCATTTCTAGTGTTGGTGTGTTGTGAGCATTGATGCTCTTGTCTGATGGTTGTGTTGTGAGTTGTATCTTAGTACTCGACGAATGGGTGGTAGGGATTTGATTGGTTTTGGTTAGCATGGGTGTTGCGGGGTATCATATGCAAAGTTTCTGTGTTGATAGTGTATGATGGTCCGTTAGTGGTAGGGTCGCCTATAATTGAGTTTGTAGTTCCGTATGGATATCCATTTAGTTCTTTTCTTTTTGTGTAAGGAGTTTAGTTCATCTCAGGTGAGATTGGGTGTCCATGGTTGGACAGTTGGTGTGTAGCATGTGACAAGGTGTTGAGTGCATTCAGGTGCGAGTCGTCAGTCTCTTGTGAGAGCGGGGTTTGTTATCATTTCCATTTGTTCTAGTCTTTGCAAGGACGTCGTTTGTCGCGAGACTTGTACTCTATCTAGGAGTTATGCGTGTCCGTGGGTGGACGGATTTGTGAGCAGTTTGTTACGCTGATAGAGTTCATCGATTGAGATCCTGATTGAAGGGGTTGACTCACTCCCACAAGGGGGGGGGGGGGGGTAAAGTCTTCGGTTTTTGTAGTGTTTATTTTGAGAGTGGTTTTGACTGGTAGAAAGTGAAGCACAGGTTGCTGAAT